TTGAATTTGAATTTGCTGATGTTGATGTTATATCCAATTTCGTTCTTTTCGTAATCTTCTGTTGTGATGGTAAAGATGAACGTTTTGAAGATGTGGATAGATTTGATGTTGTTATTTCTAATGTTGATGCTGGTATTGATCGCATATTTTGACGAACACGTCTTGTCACGGCACGTGTGCTAAGTCTAGTATTAAGTCTTTTTTATTATAAGGAAAAGGAATTTCAAATTAGATTTTTTATCTCCCTTCTTACATAAACCAGAAAAACATTCACTCGTTTTAGGGCTAGAATAATTCCATTGACTGATAGTATAAGAAAAAGAAGTTTCATTGGAGACACTTACCGTTTTGTTTTTCTCTTGTTAGCCATAATGTTTGAGACCAACACGTTTTAATATAAAACCGTAATACAAAGATAAATGTATAATCTAAACAAATAAAATATTAAACTAAAGTATAGATATATTCTTTTCTTTTTTAAAACACACTAACAAAACTACACATATACATAGAGTGAGCAACAAACTGGCACGCCTCTCTGTATATGTTATAAAGGTAGTTGACCACTAACTAATTTTTAGTCAGAGAGAAGTATTATCTTATCGCGTATACAATATACTGAACTATTTTATTCTTAAAATCAACGTGAATATATATAAGAGTGCTGAAAGAGAAAGAATACACCAGAAGATAGTAAAGAGAGAAGTGTTAGTCTGTGAACTAACACGTTTTCCTGGTTTATTCTTTCCGTACTAAAAAAACAAAACAACAACAACAACAAAAAAATAACTATCGGTCCACATATATATCCTTATGGATCATCCAGATGACCAATCAATAGAATATAGAAGAAAGAGAAGAAAAGTGAGGTAGTGGACGAAAGATAGCGCCACTACCCAACAAGAAGAACTCATTAGATAATACGAGAGAGAACATACATGGCTAAGATGCAATAAAGAGGGCTGAGATAACTCATAGTTAATTTCATTAGAATATTTTCCAGTAAGCCCATTAAGTTTATGCCCTGAATAATAAAATTATTCATCTAGTGAAGCTCAATAAGCGCCAAAAGAAGGTTATTTGTGCATAGTTATAAAAGATATATGACAGTTAGTAGTTATTCTAGTCAAATCTACCAAAAAAGTATCTAAAAATGTTAAAATATGGTAAAAAATTTTTTCAAAAAATGTTTTTCGTTTTTTCTCAGTTTATGCTTTCTGGACCGCGCAATCCATTTTTCTCTGTCCAGGCTCATTCAATATATTTATATATTTTTTTTGTTTGAAAGAGCACGTCAAGATGTAGTGCAGTACAGAGTCCTTTTTTTAAATTAAGCTTGTTTTTTATTATATATACAAACACTTATATAAACAGACCACCATTTTAGGCGCGTTTTTTGAGTCATTGAACTTGTCAGCCCTTTTCTCCGCTTAAAAGATAATAATTTTAAAAAAAGGACTCTGTACTGCACTGCATCTTGAGATGCTCTTTCAAACAAAAAAAAATTTAAATATATTGAATGAGCTTTGACAGAGAAAAATGGATTGCCAAATGAGCTATTTTTGACCCTTGCTTGGTTCATATCTCCATCAAACATCAGGGTATCGAGCTGAAAATTTTACCACAGCCTCCACACATCAGCCCCAACATATGCTCCAAATTTCAGCCCATTTGAACGTACCTGGGCTGAGATCGATTTTTGAGGGGGGGGTGGCCTTAAATCGCTTGAACGACGAGTAAATAGCCACAGAGCGCATTTTCATATGTAGGATGGATGGATGAATAATTATTTATATTCCGATGCATTTTTTATATTTCTCTGAATGCACGATTAAGAAGAAGAAGAAGAAGAAGAAGAAGAAGAATCCCCTGCTTTTCGGCTACCTTGTGGTATAAGGTGCTGTCCTAAAACAGTTTCGAAAGCCCGATATTTTCCTACAACTATTACTAGCTGTAGCTCTGGGCAGAAGGCCGGCCTGACTCAGAATTCTTCTCGCTTAATTACTTAAGCTCCCCATACACATTGACTAACCACATACTATCCATAAGGGTGTCACGTATGTCACACGTAGCCAGTGTGTTATCGAACGGGTGATCCGAGACAAATAGCCGTTAGTAACTTGTCCAAGGTTATTCGATGTCTGGTGGCGCCGAGGCTCGTACACAGTACCTTGTGGGTATGTGTCGAGCAACTGAACCATTCATCCATAGCGGCTCTGCACGATTAAACACGCTTTGCACACAAGTATTTATATTGAAAACTATGCGCATGCACACATTTCTAATCGTAAATGATTGAAAAAAGGAAATTTACCTTGTATATATATAAATTACCTGCCAAAATTCGCGGAATGTTTGAAACTGATGGTCGTTTCAGTCGTTTTTCATCAAATTTTTGCCAAAGGTACAGCTCGAAAATCTATGATCGAAGACGCCAACACGAGCTCAATCAAATAAGATAGGATAGAGTTAATATTCAGACACTACATGAACTTCAGTCACTAAAGAATCACAATTCTTTAAGTTTTCTTGAGCTGGATTCAACTCTTTGTTTTGAAGTTTGTAGCTCCTCACATTTCCGATACGAATTTCTTCAAAAACTCTCGAGATGTTGAAAGGTTTACTGGGTCTCTAAGCTGCTTCTCAATGTAGAGTCGAATCCAGCTTAAGAAAACTTAAAGAATTGTGATTTCTCTGGTGACTGAAGTCCATATAGTGTTTAAACATTAACTCTATCCTATCTCATTTGATTGAGCTCGGGTTGGCATCTTCGGTCACAGATTTTCGAGCTGTACCTTTAAGAAAAATTTGGTGAAAAACAGCTGCAGTGACCGTGAGTTTCATACATGTCGGGAATTTTGACAGCTAGTGTATATACGTTATGTCTGCACAGTTTCAAGATTGACTAAAACCATCATACAACCATACGGGTAAGAGTGGAAGGTTGGAACATTTTTGTTTTGCTCAAAGCATACACAGTGCCAGTAGAATGCAAAGAGTTTACTAACATGAACTGAGGTAATGTTAGTGAGTTTGTATTAAAATATTCTTTCCTTAAACGTATCAATTTTCTCTCATAGAAAAGTTTCTTCAAGAAGTATGGCAAGGGTTTTGCGTAGTGCTCATGATTTCTCAAGTTATGGGTACTGATAGAACAATTACTATTAGTTGTACAAGATGATCAATCGTCGATAGGGAGCTGCGGGTCCGTCCAGACCCGGGCCTGACCGGGTCCGAGTCCTGGCCTAAAAAATTAGGTTTTGTCGAGTCCGGGCCTGGGTCCGGGAATACGTCTCAGTTAAACTCCAGATCCGGTTTGCATTAAATTACGAATCTAAATATATAAGAATTGAAGTTAGGGAGCTGCGGGTACGTCCAGATCCGGACCTGGACCCGGGCCGGTCGGGTCCGGGTCGGGGCCTAATTCCAACCGGATCCGAGTCCATAAATATGATTTTTACCGGGTCCGGGCCCAAAAAGACATGGACCCGCAGCTCCCTAATCGTCGAACAAACATCAGCTGAATCTTAACTATTTCAGGCTCTTAATGAAAATCATTGGTCAAAATTTACAGAAATTAATAGCTGGTACTCTGAAAAATAGAAAGTTGGGCACTTCCATCTCTTTACTTCTCGCTTTAGTTCTAACAGTTTAGTTGTGAGCAAGGGAAAACGGCAGAGATTTTAGCCTTGAAGTCGCATAAAGCGTCTGAAGTCATTTGATGTCTTGAAGTCAGCCGTTTTTTCCTTGGTTTCAGTCTTGGATATGACGCACCTTTTCGGTTGATATTAATGTTTCAAAGGATTCTACTAAAGTGAGAAATATAAAAACTTGATTGATCATTCGCTATAAAATATCACGATTTCAATTCCTTTCATCTCCCTACCGATGGAATGGACATTTCAGTCATCTCACTTAACATTATGATAGCCTTCTTTATTTATTTATCTATTTTTCTTCTTCCTGTTGCTGTTGATACTCTAGGCCTTTATTTGATCGATCACTACGATAATGTTATTTTATATCTTTTTCTCTATCACAAGAATAGAAGATGCATTCTGCATTTGACCAAACAATCCGACAGCGTTATGTATTTTTTGTGAAATACGATTGTAAAAGTGTGTAGAATTATATAGCGAAAAACTTAAATCTCTCATACCTCAGTTATCTCCACAATCCCTGACAGACATGACACTAGAGAGCTGCAGGTCCATGTTTTTTTGGACCCGGACCCGACAAAAGCTAAATTTTTATACTCGGACCCGACCGGACTCGGATCCAGGTCCGGATCTGGATGTACCCGCAGCTCCCTAACTTCAATTCTTATATATTTAGAGTCGTAACTTAATGCAAACGGGGTCTGGAGTTTAACTGAGACGTAGACCTGGGGGCCGAGCCCGGACCCGAACCCGACAAAAGCTAAATTTTCAAACCCGGACTTGAACCCGGTCGGGTCCGGGTCTGGATGGACCCGCAGCTCCCTACATGACACTATGGCAAAAGAAAGAATGACTTTTGAACATTGAATTGTTGGACGTTGGACTACTCAATTTCAAATGAACTATCCTTTTATTTAAATAGATTTTTGAATTTACAACGGGTTTGCAGTCCAAAAGAAGAATTAAATCCATCAATAGTCTCGCAATATGACTTATTTTGATCCTGTCACAGACTGTGACAAACATCTGAATTGAACACGGGGCTCCTTTGTTCTAATACAAACCGTGATAAGTGTAGCAAGAGTGTTTGTGCAGGATGAAACCTGCTCTATTGTGCATCCCATTTTAATTCCCTAGAGATTCTGTTGAAAACCTTTTTCCAATAGTTTTTCTCAACTTTGGCTGAAAAATACGTTAAGAACTCTTTCGCATTTTGCGCATCTTCAATCATATTAGTTCTTCGGGTGTTTGTTTCCTATCTAATGTGATATATTATGACAAAAGAATAACTTAAATCTAGTGTTTTTCTTTTCAGATCGCTTTGACATCAATTATAATTCAATGGATATTCTACTGGTATCAAGAGTGATGCTGTTGCTTCTGAGGGTATCTCTATAGTTCTCATGTGTTGATTAGAATTTCTTGTATATAAAGCAGTCAGAACCATGTGACATAGAAGAATCTATGCACTATATTTTCTTCACTGTGTCTACGACACTAAACCTTGCGAGGAACGCGCGATGGAAAAAACTTAGAGTATTCTCTACCATGTATTGTACTCTAGAATATGGCTAGAGTACAAAAAATCGTAGAGTATGATAGGATAAAGAAATTCATATCCTTGCAAGACTCTAATCAAACTTGAAGATGTCTATTGAGAAAATATCAATAATCTTGTTAAGTTTTTTTCTTTCGAGTAAAATTTGTGCAAAACTATCAGACAAAATATGTTCACTTGACTGGAAGTCTAAGATTATATAAATTAAATATCTACTTGTTTGCAATGTGGAATATATACAAAATATAAATATTTTATATTTACTTCTTATAGTTATTATTAATAAAGACAACTGCTTTTGGTCAATTAACTGGAGATTATGGAAGTTATAGTCCTAGTTTTGAGAAGCAATTGATCGAAGCAAATCGTGACGATGGATATTGCATTATAGCTTTTCAAATAGATGATCAAACTCCTATCGGATTAATAGCCTTTGGGCTTACTGTGGGAGAAATCAAGTTTTATCAAAATCCAAGCATAACTACAGTACCAGAAAATGGGACGCTTATTCAAAATCTCTCTAGTCCTTTGGCAGCCGATACAGCTGATATATCAGGTGACGGATATCAAGACCTTATTATTGCCTATGAATATGGTAGGACACTGTTAGACACCGATCCTGATGGAGGAAAAATTGCATGGTTGGAAAATCCAGGACAAAATAACGGTACTAAACTATGGACAATGCATTATGTTGGAAAATCGCCAGCAATGCATAGACTTAAAGTTGGTCATTTTACGCAAACTGACCGTTGGGAGATTGTAGGTTTGCCCGTTAACGCCAAGCCATTTGATGCAGTTACACCGATACCCGTACTGTTATTTCGAGAACCCGATAATGTTTTAAATGCTACAGAATGGACTCGTGAAATAATTAATCAGGATTATTTTCATATAATCCACGAGGCAACAACATTTAAAGTTGATCAATTAGATAATCTTTTGCTTGCATCACGCGAAGGTATTACTTGGGTTTACTTTAATCAAAACTCGAAAAAGTGGACGATGGAAACTATTGGAGAGGGTGAACTTGGACTAGAAGAACAGACAGGAATCTATGGTACTGGAGTCGTCTGTATAGGGCGGACTGGAAATGATTCCTTGTCTTATATTGCTGCTGGTGAACCATTTCATGGAAACATGATTGCAGTCTATGTCAAAAATACAGACAATGTTTTGAATAACATTCAATGGAAAAGATATGTATTAGATGTTTATGGATATCCTAACGAACAAGGTGAAGGTCCAATTCATCATATCATTTGTGCTGACTTTGATAAAGATGGAGATGATGAATTCTTAATTGCACTTCGTGGACCATCTCCCACTGAGGGTGTCTATTTATATAAGCCGATTGATGTCTCTCGTGGTTTATTTTTAAAATGGAAGGTTAGTGATATTTCGGCTGCTAGAATTACTGTTGCTGACTTCGATTATGATGGCCTTCTTGACTTTGCAACTATTGGCTACAATGTTCCCCGCTATTATGTAGCAGAAAATACTTCTATCTACATCTTTTACAATCGATTCAACCAGGAGAAACTGCCAACTAATAAAGATTTACAAGTAATGAAGCAAAACAATGAACTCTTATTCAAAGTTTCAAGACCAAACAAAGCTTTACAATATCAAGCAGTACCCTTTCTTACAATAGGTGGAATAACCTTATCATTAGAAATTATACCACCTTATAGTTCACGTCAAGTAAACAATTATACTTATGTCAAAGTTCTTTGGGGAAATGTAATGTGGACAGATTCTTCTACAAATTCGAATCAATCTGTCGACTATTCGCGTCAATTTCTCTGTAAACCAAGAACTGCTTGCTCCCTTGAGATAAACAGTGATAATGACAGAATTAAAACCGGAAGTGAAGGCGCACTTTTGTTTGTACACAAACTAGCTGATGACATGAATGATATTCCTCGATTCAGTAATATTAAAAATGTTACTCTTGAGAATTCATTACCAGAATACGTTCCACAAGATGCTCGTCAACTTGCTTTTCAGTTTATTAAATATGATCAAATTAACTCAGCAGATAACTTCAAAGGTCTTGAATTTTACAATCTGAAAGGCTTTAACATAACATTTGCTGACGACAACGAACACCTTTGCTACATAGAAATGTGGGCAGCTGGCCTAGGTGTTAATGCTGGTGTACACAATCATGTGACTGATTCATTCTGTGAAGTTCATGCCTGTATCATCAATGGAAGTGGAAAGGGCGGTGTGTATTATCTCAATAGCTCGAACGAAGATTACAATTCATCTACTACACTGGATTCAGCATTTATACAATTAATAGTACCATCGTTTTACGAACACGGTCCTCTATGGGATATTGATGCAGAAAACAAACCAGTCTTACGAAGTAATGGCACTGTAGTTTATCCTTGGCATAAATGGCAAGCTGGCACTGATGCATCGGTCAATCAATCGTTTGATGTTTGGTCAGTTATTCAATTCAATCCAAAACTGTCAATACTGCCATCGTCAACGCCTTCATCATCAACTTCATCATCAACGCTGTCACCATCAACGCTACCATCATCAACGCCTTCACCGTCAACGCTGCCACCAACAATGCTACCATCGACAACGGTGCCTTCTCGCTCAAGTTCACTATTAAACTCATATGTTGTACTGCTTTGTTCATGTTTTGCTTGCTTATTATTTAACAATTAATCAGTTTCGCGTTTGAAAGAGATATCTCATTCTTTTTGGCTTATTTGAGAAACGATCTCTTTTGATAAGCGTCAAAATCTGGCCATCCCTGGATTGAGCTCTTATATATGCCAAATGAAAGAGTAGAAGTTACCGCATATTCCGCAAGGGAGAAACAGCGGATCCCAGGACTTCATGACTCCACAGGACTGGGATCGCTGTTTCCCCCTTGATTAAAAGACCACTGGAATTCACCGATCTAGCTCCGGTGCCTTTATCAGCAATTTCATCAAGTGCTTGAATGATTGCTGGATAATTATTAATGATAGAGTCAATAGCTCGCTACCGAGAGTCCCAGCGAGTTTCGGCCCACAAGTTGAGCGTTGACGATTGATTTGAAAAAGAGAGAGATCAAAGCTTAAAAAAATTTCTTTGAGGATATGATTATGAAGATTACTTAAGCCTAACTTCTGTTGTGTATTTTTAAAAAGTGTGTGTTGACCACGCCCGATTCAGTAAAAAATGGTCCAGACAAGTGAGCTCCAAATTTAAACTCCACTGTCGCTACTGTCTACGTGTTTTCGCATAGACAGTAGCGACAGTGGAGTTTAAATTTGGAGCTCACTTTTCTGGACCGTAAAAAAAGAATGAATATTAGAAAGAATCGAAAAATAATCACGCATATACGAAACGACTTTGCAAGTATCATTGATTACAAGGTTCAGACTATAGGCACAACAGTGCAAATAAATCGCCTTTGGCATGTACTTTCTCAATAGGACGTGAACGCCCGCGAGGCACCCCGACATAACTAATACTCTGTAGAATGAACATAAAAAAGAAAAAAAATTATAAGAGTCTATAGATTTAGCAGAAATAAAAGAGCAACGCACCCATCAAAATATACACAAATGCATGCCTCCAACGAAATACTTAAATTATTTAAAACTTCGATGATTTTTTCTGAAAGTGGCATCGCATCGAATTCCTGTAATGGCACAAAGCCAAGAAATTATTCCTTGACTACATTCGAACGATAAATTGGACGATTGGTAAGTTCAGGAATAAATCAAATGACTATGGAGAGTTGCTGTGTCCCCCTTATATCTCGACACTCATCCGCCATCAATGTATAATGACAATTTTTTACCTAAAAAAACCAGAGTGACTTGATTACATAAGCTAGTCATAGAATTTTATCTTACCATAAATGAAATTTCTTCACGAATTTGATCACTCATTAGATGTATTAATTCATTTTGGATTTCATGTCTTAGATAAGTAGCATTACTGGCAGAATCTTCGATAATTAATTTGGCGATCGGATCAGTCGATGCTGCCCAATGAAGAATTTCCAAAAAATTGCCTAGATTAGAACTTCTGAAATGATAAAAAGTAAAATAACATTACAAATACATTTGATTCCATAAAAATAGAAATCCATTTTCATATACCGCTCATTTTCCAAATGTCCTCTAAAGCTGATCATTTGGGATCCTAATAGATGTAAAACGGAACATATCTTGACCAACCGATGACGATTCTTTTCGATTTGAATTGTTCGACCAGAATTTATTTTGTCCAGAACATTGAAGTTTGTTTCTTGTCGTTGTTTATATGATTGATAGATTTTTGTTCGGGTTATGTGAGATCGAGACAATGCGTGTTTCATGAGACCACTACCGTTCTCCGAAGACCTTTTTCAATTGTTAAAACCCGAAGTACTTAGTAAATGCATCACCAACATTTAACTTATTCGATGGAAAATGGTGGCAATAATAGCAATATGCTGCATCGTTCTTGATAGAATATTCTAACCACGGTCTCTCTTGGTATCAATTGGATTGGAATGATCGCTTTTGATAATTAATCAGATATGACTGTAATTTTGGTTGAGCAGGAGGATTATTACATGATGTACTAATGTCGTTCGGAATGGATTTCGATTGAGAACTTTCAATTGAAAAACTAGACGTTGAAAAAGAAGAACATGATGTAACAGAAATAAGATCGGATGAAGGTTGAGGGTGTGGGTGTGGATGTGGGTGTGGGTGTGGGTGTGGGTGTGGGTGTGGGTGTGGGTGTGG